TTTTTTTTTGTTGAAATAATCACTCATAATTTTAAATCATTAACTGACTTTTTAAAGCTGAAAGTTTGAACTTGTTAGCAACTAATTTTGTATTTACACGTCAGAGACATGGAGCAACATTAACGTTTCCTTTAGAGTCATATTTCTAGAAACCTGACAAAGATACATTCACTATTCACTCCACTTTCAGCTCTGTTTTTGAAAAGATCTGGTCGTTCGCCAGCTAGTTGCTAACTTTTTTTAGAGACAAGCTTCATGAGAGCAGTGGAAGTAAATCAAAACAACTATTATCTTTGAATTAATTGAGGTATCGCTAATATAAAAATACTGACTAAAGCAGCTTTAAGTCTAGCCAAGAGCACTAGACTTTTTACTGGATCCAACAAAACCACTGACACTTTGAAGAAGTTTTTTTTAAAAAGCATCACGAAGATGCAAGCAAGTAATGTTTTAAACACTTTTTTTTATGTAAAATTCACAGAAAGATTTTTATTGCATTAGGATTAACTTTCTCCCTCACATCTATATTCACACTCTTTTAATGTTTGCAGCACTCAGACTTCTCCACAGTAAACAACAGAACACATCTTTCAGAGGGCCGATCATGAGACGCTGACCACAGAGGGTAGCCCAAGGTCAGACCTGTGTCATATCCGCTGACCGGCCAGCTGCTGACAGACAGTGTTCATAGCGAAAGGTAACAAGAGAGGACAGGTAGAGGTGTGAAATATTATCTAATGGACTGGAAAGGAGGAGGCAGTGAGAGAGGAGGAGGGAGAGAGGGGGGTGTGCTGAGTTATCTGCCCTGTTGTGGGCATTATGTGGGAGGGTGTCACAGGGTGGGGTAAGAGTGACAGACACATGACCTCCAAAGAGAGGACAAACAGGTGAATCAAATGAGGGTTAAGAGTTTTAGAAATCAGCTGTCTTATTGTACTTGTGTGAATATATAACAATGTTTTTTTAATGTAAAGTTATTTATGAATTAACAGATAGAGTTTGTTTTATTTGTAGGTTATAGGGTCGGGCTATTGTTTTTAAAAAAGTGGAGGCATGCTGTACAGCGTGAGGATTTAAAATATACAGTATATGTTGATATGTGGCTATACAATATCGAAAATAATAAAGTTTGATCACAAAAAAACAGCTGATTTAAGGCCAAAGATGAACTATCTAGAATTTTTTTTACTAAAACATGAACATTTAAAATGAAAACAGCGTCAGTCCAGCACGAATAGAAGGGTGTGAAAGGATAAATATAGTGAATATCTGAATAACAATATCTAGCAATCATTCATGCTTAAATAAAAGTGTAAACTGGCACTTTTTCTATAATCTATCAATTTAAATTCCTCCTTTTTTATTTTATTTATCACATGTGCAAAGCATGAATGACACCCATTTGTTAAACTACTCTTCAGACCATGTAGAAACTAAGAAAGGGGAATAAAACACGTGTGCTCGGCTCTGGTAGTTTGGGTGGAAGGGTGCGAAACAAGTCACAGGTGCAGACTAAACTCACCTGCACTCCGGCTGTGTCATTTTTGACCCGAGTGTCCAGGCGGCTGTGGAGCAGCTCCTCCCGGGAGTGGATCTGTTGCAGGAGCCGCTTGGGCTGAACCACTTGTTCTGCAGGCGGCAGCCTTCCCTCCACATTCACCCATCCTCTCAGACCTGCCGAGGACAGAAGAGGAGGCTCAGTGCACAGGCAGGATGAGATCCCAGAGAGAGAGGACGCTGTATGGAGCTCTAAATGCAAGGTTGTAACGCTGAATGTCTTATTTCTGCAGCCCTCTTATGGGATTAAACAGCTGGTGTCGACCTGCTTGTTGACACCGATGCAACAATTACATGGTCCTTGTTGTTAGAGGTTCAGTAGAAACAAGACTCGACTAACCCCTTCTTCTTATTCTAATCACTAAACCACATAAACTAAAGCTTACCTGTCACGGAGCACCGTGCACACACTGCAGCGAACAGCAGGCATCTCACAGCGAGCATGATGCTCACATAGTCCTAGTGATTTCCCCGTTACAGCGCCGTTAAATGAGCTGAAAAGAGGCGTGAGCGGAGCTGCAGCGGGACTGTTGTTGACAGTGAAGACGAACACAACAGCGGGGGTTCCTTTAAACGCGGCGCCCACATCTCTCACCCCCCTCTCCGCCTCTGGTGAGTTAAAAGCCCCCCGACGAGGCTCCTCCGCTCGGCTCCAGCAGCATGGTGTCTGTCGGTGTCGCCGAGCTCCGCGGCACGATCTCTCTCTCTCTCTCT